CCTCCCTAGCCCTGCTCAGCCGCGCCAGGCTGCAGTCCCGGGGGGCGCGCATCACAGCTCCACCCCCCAGCCCCGCCCCGTCGGCAGGCCTGGGGCGCCCTGTTCGCACTTACGGGCTGCGTGTGTCTCCCCAAATTCTCCTGTTCAAGTCCTGACCCCCAGGACCTAGGAGCGTGACTGCCTGTGGAGACGGGGTCTTGGAAGAGGTGACGAAGGCGAAACGAGGTCCCCGGGGTGGGCTCTGGTGCAGTGTGACCGGGGTCCTCAGCAGAAGAGGAGACCAGGGCACAGACACACACAGGGCCGGCCACGCAGGGACACGGGGAGGGGACCGCCGACCCGGGGAGAGGCCTCGGGGCGACCTGCCCACTGGCCCCTGGGGCTCGGGCCCCGCCTCCAGGACGGGGACCGTGAGTGTGTCCTGTGTCAGCCGCCGTCTGTGGGGCCGCGTCTCGGGTGCCGAGAAGACGCAGACAGCCCCGCTGTGCCATCATCTTGCCCGTCCCCCTGGGTGGCCTTCCGGGGTGGCCTGGAGGCACTGGGGGCTGAGGGGCACGGAGGAGCCCGGGGAGAGTAAGGGCACTGGGCTCCTTGGGGTGATGAAGGGCCTGAAATCCGCTGTGATCCGTGACTATATGAAAACTGTCAGTTTGCGTGTTGTAAAGGCGCGGATTGTAGGGTGTATGGATTCGATCGCAATAGAGCTCTTAAAAATCCATTTTGAAAAGCCTCCACTTAGGCCCCCAGGCGGTGCGCCACCTTCCGCGGTCTCCCATCGGCCCCTCGGGGGGCCGCTGCGCCCTTGTGCGCCCCGGGCCCGTGACAGCGCTCTGGCGCTGGGCCCACGCCAAGGCCCTGCTGACGGACAGGAGAGGTCCTGCTCCTCTGTCCCCAGCAGCCTGCGCAGTCCTTGGGCACAGCAGTGCTCAAACCCAGCGTTCTGGGGACACTCGACACTACAGAAGCCTCGCTGGTGGCATCCGAGAGCAGCCCCAAGAGGGAGTTGTGCCCCCTCAGCAGGGGGCTGTGGTCTGGCCAGGACTGGGCTCTGCCCCTAGGAGTGGGGTGGCCTTGGCTGCAGAGGGCGGACAGCTGGTCTACCCAGAGGTACCAGCTGCCAGGCAGAGGACTGTCCGGGGCTGTGTGCGGAGATTCCGCCATACGGCCCACCCCCGCTGCTCACGGCTTCTAACTTTGCCAGGAGCAAAGGCAGAGGGGGCCGCTCAGGCCCTGGACCCCAGCCCCAGCCTGTTGGGAACGAAGGGCCAGGTGGCCCAGGTGAGGCCAGATGGAGGCTCCCATCGCCTCACCTCTCCTCCCCGCTGTATGACCTCGACCTCGGATGCGCCTGCGGTTCGCATCTGTAAGGCGGGGCAGGGCGGGGCTGCTTCAGGACTTCCTGGGCCGGCAGCGCTGCTGGCCCGGCTCTCCCCCAGTGCTCTTCGGGGGCACAATTAGCGTGAGTGTGTGCCTCAGGGGTGGGGCCAGCACCCCTGTTGGCAGGCTGGGGCCTCGTCGCAGGTCGCTGTTCTCTGTTCTGTCCCCTCCCCCAGCTCCCTCTCCAGAGGAAGCGTCTGGGGGAGTCACAACGCGTCACCCAGGTCCCAGGTAGGCCCTGGGGGTGGGGGCGTCAGAGCAGAGTTCTCTGACGGCCAGGGGGCGGGGGGGAGGCGGCAGGCCCGGGCCTGGGGGTGTCCGGGCCGGGGTCTGGAAGAGACCAATTAGTCAAATGGTTGCATTGACCATTTGGAAGCAATTAACAAGGTCGCTATTACCACATCACGCCCCCCACCTGGTGCCTTGGGGGGGCGGAGGTCACCGTGGGGGGGGTGCCTCATTCCAGCCCAGCCTGGCAGGGCTTTGGGAGTGAGGTCCACGCCCTGCGGGGGTGCCGCCATCAACGCGGGTGCCCCCGCCTCGGCCGGGCCGGAGCCTCCAAGGGCCTGGCAGCCCAGGGATGTCCGGGGCCAAGCTGAGGCCCTTGGGGGTGTCCGGGGGGCTTCCTGGGCCAGGAAAGACAGGGGTCAGGGAGATTCAGGAGGAAAGGAAAGCCTCAGTGGGCAGGTGAGCCAAGGCCTGGAGCCCGGGGGAGAGGCTGTGGCGGTGCACGGGGGGGAGCAGGCAGGGGGCGAGTGCCCCCCAACGCTGGCTGAGGGCGGGGCTGCCGCAGGGCTGCTGCAGGGGCAGAAGACACTCGGTGTTTTAGACGGCACCCTCTGAGTCCAGGGTGCTTGGGGGGCGGGGTGGGGCACCGCCCAGAGGGCGTGGCTGCCTTGGCAAAGTCACCCTGGAAAGGGCCTCCAGCCGCGCTGCCCCCGGCCGCACCACGCACGGTGGTCCCCTGCGGAGGGGGCGTGCCCTGTGCCGGGGCCTCTGCTGCGTCTCCTCGCTGAACCCGGGGCGTTCGCCCGATGGGGGGTGGCGCTGCATGGCCAGGGCCTCCGGCCGTTCACTCGTTCATTCTAGGCGTGGGCACCGAGGGGCTACTGTCTCAGAGGTGTGGCCACAGCGGTGAATGAAGCCAGCAGCCGCCCCGCCCGCCTGCCCCCCTCCGACTCCCCCAGAGCCCTGCTCTGTGGCAGCCCCTTCCCCGGGTCTCCGGTGGGGGCGCACGGCGGGTGCGCACAGGCTCACCCTGCGGGCAGCTCGCACGCTGGCCCCAGGGCGCCGTCGGGGCAGCGCGGAGAGGAGCCAGGCAGCGGACCGAGCTGCCGCTTCCACAGGGCTGGTCGGGCCCCTCCCAACCTTCCTGAGGGGACCCTGGGTGGGGGGAGGCGGCTGAGGCACACACAGCAGAGGGGTCAGGAGTCCTGCCCAGGCCCCTCCCCCGGTCCTGAGAGCAGTTTCACTGGCTTTCCCTGGGGACCACGGCGTCCCCTCTTGTCCCCGCACGACGTGGCCTCAGGAGGTGCCTGTCCAACTCCCAGAGCAGAGCTTGGTGGCCTTTACGGCATCTCCGCCCCCACTGTGTCCTTTCTGTGCTCTCACAGGAACCCCAGCGGCCAGCAGGCTCAGGCCAGGTCTGCGGGTGGCGCCTAGAGGGGCAAGTTCCCCTCACGGCTCTGTCCCCGGGGGCTGTCCTCTGTCCCCAGGAAAGCAGACCCCATCGTTAGGAGTCTCGGCTTCCGGCAGTCAGCGGCCTGGTCCTCAGACTGTTCCGACTGAGCAGAACCTGGCCCTGAGTCACCTCCCTAGGGACTGGGGTCCTGGGCGACGCCCTGGGGGAGCCCCCCGCCCAGCGCCCCCAGGCACCGACCACACCGGGGTGGGCTCAGCGAGGACTGGCCACCCTGTGAGTGTTAGGCCACGGCGGCGAGACATGCCCCAGTGGGGTGTGAGCCCCCCCCCCCCGCCCCGCACACCTGCCCCGCCCGTCGGGAGGACGGACGCCCCAAATCCGGACGTAGGCCGGCGAGGCGTGGGACACCAGCCCCCTGGCTCGTCCCTGAACCTGGAGCCAAGGCTGCGGCCTAGACCGCTGGGCCCCCCAGGGCCCGTGCCCACCCCTGCTCTGTTCCCCGTGCCACCCCCTTGCCATGGGGCGAGCCGCCAGCTCGAGTCCGAGTCAGTGCCTGCTGGCCCACGGCCAGGGGCTGCTGGGGACAGGGGCTCCGGGGGGCCAGTGAAGGGCGTGAGGCTGTGACTTTTCCAAACACTCTGTCCACAGCCCCCCTTTCTGCTGGGGTCCCAAGGGGAGATAGCGCCACCCCCCCCCAGTCCAAGGTCACAGGGGCCTCCACCCTGCTGCCCTGACCCACCTCCGTTCCCCCCGCTGGTCGCCCCTCTCCCTCTCCTCTCCCTTCGCTGTGGACACCAGGCTCGCCCGCTTTCCCCTGGGGAGGTCCCTGTGCCCGAGTACCCGTTTCTGCTCCTTGGTTTCTCTCCTCTGTCACACTCTCCCTGGCTCTCTCTCCTCCGCCCTGTCTTTCTCTCTGTGCCCGTCTGTCTTGCTCCCTGGGGCTCTCTGCCCCTGTGCCCCTTCCTCCGGCCCTCCAGGCCTGCTCCCCAGCCCCCTCCCTGGCTCGCGGCAGGGACCAGACCCTCCGAGACCCCCCGACGTTTGTAAACCTCGCGCTTCCGGATCTGCCCGGCTGGAGTGCGAGACAGGATAAAGCACTTCTCGGCCCGCCGGTCCACCTTGCCTGGGCCGCCAAAGACAGCGCCGCGGCTCCAGCAGGGACCCCGGGACGCAGGCACAAGCCCAGGCGGCGTCCCCCACGCGCGCTCGCGCCCCGGGCCCTCTCCGCCACCGCCCTCCGCGGCCCCTTCACTACGCGCCGCCTCTAATGGGCGTTTGTCAGCGCGACTTCCCCGCAAGTTGTTTTCGCGGACATCAGTCATCGGCGGCGTCCCCATTGTGCCGGGGGATTGATGGGGGGCGGGAGGGGGTGACAGGGCCTGGGGCGGCTGCCTGGAGGCCTCGGTCTATAATTTTCGGAGGCATAATTGGTCTGGGGGAAGGGGCGGGGGCGGGGCGGGGGAGGGACCTTTCGGAGCCCGCGGGGCGCGCGGGGGCGCGAGGCGCGCGGCGCAGCGGAGCCGCGGCTCGACGGCGGTGCGCGGGGGCGAGTGTGCGCGGGCGGCCGCCGGCCCGAGCCCCGCGCCAGCCGCGCTGCCCACCCGCCTGGGCGCCCGCCCCTCCCGCGCCTCCGCCTGGGGACCACGTCGGCCTTTTGTTGCCGAACCGTCTTTTCTTTCAGCGCTTTGCGCAGCAACGGAAATTTCACCCGATCCCGGGTGAAAATTAAAGGAGATTCATTCTCTCTCTCAATCTCTCTCTCTCTCTCTCTCTCTTTCTCTCTCTCCCTCCTCCCCTCTCTCCTCCCTCCTCCCTCCCCTGCTTTTCTCCCCTCCCCGCCCCCCTCTCCGCGGAGCCCGAGTCGGCACCACCAGGCGCGGGAGCCGGCTCCGCGCGCCTAGCCCGGCTCCGCCGCCGCCCCTTCCATGGGAGCTGCGCTCGCCTGCAGCCGCCGCCGCCGCGGGGCGGGCGCGATGCCGCGATGGGCCTGATCTGGCTCCTGCTGCTCAGCCTGCTGGAGCCCGGCTGGCCGGCCGGCCCCGGGGCGCGGCTGCGGCGCGATGCGGGCGGCCGCGGCGGCGTCTACGAGCACCTCGGCGGGGCCCCCCGGCGCCGCAAGCTCTACTGTGCCACGAAGTACCACCTCCAGCTGCACCCGAGCGGCCGCGTCAACGGCAGCCTGGAGAACAGCGCCTATAGTGAGTGTCCGGCCCGCGCAGCCCTGGCCGGTCCCCGGGGAGGAGCAGTGCCCGGGAAGGGTACGCGCTGAAGGGCGCCCGGCAAGAGGGTCAGTCCTGCTGCCGAAGGGAGGGAGGCCGCTGGGGCCCCCTGGCCTCCCCCCAGGTGCAGAGGAGCGCGAGGGGCCCTGGGGGTGGGGGGGGGCTCACGTCCGAAGAGCACGGGTCTCATGGAGGGCTGCTGACCCCGCCGAATCTGCCCTCTGCCCCCTGCCGCGCTCGCTGGTCGGAGGGGGCGCGCGCCCGGGGGCCCAGGGCTCCTCACTCTCTCGGCGGCACTCAGCGGCCCTGACAAATTTGAGCGTTTTGAGTTTTTTGGAGAAAAAGGGCTGGACAAGGCATTTCTCGTCTTTATTATTTTGACGACGACTCCTCCTCCTGTCGACCCCTTGGCCGCCCGCGGACCCTCTCCCGTAACTGCCTGCACCCGCCCAGGAGGCCGGCAAGCGCCGCTGCCTCCGCAGAAGATGCTCGCCCCGCCACGGATAGGCTGTCATTTCCGCGGGTGGAACCTGCAGCCTCGGGCCTCTGCGCTTGGCCTCCGGGCGGGCGGCCGGCGGGCCCGGTCGGGGCCTCGGGGTACAGGTTAGGAGCGCTGAGGGTCACCGTCGTGAGCCGCGGTCCGGAGAGGCTCCCACCCTGGGCCCCTCTGGCCACGGGGACCAGAGCTTGTGCTGTGGACCTGCTCGGTGGGGGGCATGAACCCCGAGCTCGGGGCCTGGTAGGACCGCAGCGGGGACGGTGGGAGTGTGGCCAAGGCCTCGGGACCCCCTGGTGGGGCGCTGGCGCGCGCGGCCTCGGCCTCCTGCCGGCGCAGGAAGCGGTGCGGTGGCTCAAGGCGGCGGCGGGAAACCGCTGCTTCCTCGAGGAAAGCCGCAGCCCTGCGAGGGCGTCCTCGGAGGAGCTTCAGGGCACGCGGTGGAGACGAGCCACCGCCAGGGCTTCTCTGTGCTCAGGACGAGTCCCGGGAGCGCCCGCGCTCCCCTCGCAGGGGCACGCGGTTCTCTCCAAGTCCAGCATACCCTCCGGGGCGGCAGAGCATCCCCGTTCCTGGGGTGTCCCAGGCAGGCAGCCGGGAGATGGAGGAGGGGGCACGCCTGCTGCCTCTCGCATCCTGTGTCCAGTCGAGCGTTTCTCTGGTCCTCGGGTGGGGCTGTGGAATCCGCCCAGCCTGAAACTGGGGGACGCACGGCCGGCAGCCTGAGCCCCTGCGCACTCCCACGAGCCTCGGGGGCTGCGTCTTGGGTCCTGGGATCCATGCCGCGGGGAATGGCCCTGGAGAGGGTGCCCGCTGCACCCCGATCCCTTGGAGCGGTTCTGGGGCTCTGGCCCCACCCGAGCCTTTGTTGCACACACCCCACCCCCAAGAAAAAGTGCTCTTGTGTCCAGAAGGAAAAGCGTCAGGGGAGATTTAAACTTTCCCGGGGAGCGGGTGAGCCCAACCTGCTTCCTTTGTGAGCTCTGGGCTCTAACCCAGCCCCCTGCCAGGCTGCTCCCCCACCCCCGCCCTCAGGGGAGAGTTATCCCCTGCCCAGGTCGGACTCCAGCGGGTTTGGGCGACACCCTCAGTGTGCTGCCTGGATGATATTAGCAGCTGGCTCCTCCTGGGCCCAGCTGCCCTGCTCCGGGACCCCGGGGCACCAGGGCTGGGGAGCCCAGGCTGGCATCTGCAGCCCGGGTTCGGATTCCTGCTCAAACACAGGTGCGCGTCCTGGGCAGGTCGCTGGACCTCAGCAGCCTCGTGAAACCAGCCGGCAGGGCTGTCCCCACGTCCTTCGAGGCCACGCTCCTTGGCAGAGTCAGCGTGTAGAAATACCAGCTTTCTTGTCCCGCCGCCCGCCCCGTGGGTCTGAATTCTTCTCCCTGGGGCGCCTTCTCTGGGGCTGCCCCTTTTCACCTCCTGCCCGATTGCTTCTCGCTCCCCTGAACACCCAACGTCAGCCTCCTTGGGCGTATGTTTCGGCTTTGGGCAGGGCCAGTGGGCGCCCGGCCCTCGGCCCTCGGCCCTCGGCCGGGCTCCCAGGGCGGCGGAGGCCTGACGAGCACCCCCACCCCTCCGCTCTTCCCAGGCATCCTGGAGATCACGGCGGTGGAGGTGGGCGTCGTGGCCATTAAGGGGCTCTTCTCGGGACGCTACCTGGCCATGAACAGGAGGGGGCGGCTCTACGCTTCGGTGAGTCCAGCCCCTCCTGGGGGTGGGCACGGAGGGAGCGGCCATGTCCCTGCACGGCCGTCGAGGGAGCTGAGAGCGGGGGAGAGGTTGACCCCCAGTTCCCACTGAAATAAAGGGACCCAAGCGAGCCTCGGGCCGGGCGAGAACTCTTCTCCTGGGGGCCCAGAGGGAAGGAGGCAGGGCCTGCAAGCCAGGTCCCCCTCAAGGGGGAAGGAGGCGACTGCTCGTTCTTAGGAGGGAACCCAGAGGGAGGGAGAGGAGACCCGAGCCCCAAGGCTCAGGGGCTGGAATCCAGTGTCTCCACCGCCTGGGCTTCCAGGGCATAAAAACGGCCGTGGCTCTGCAGGCGTGGGCAGCGCCTTTCCCCGACGGCGGGGGTGGTTATGGGCGCACGGAGGGAAATACAGGTAACCAGGAAGTTTGCTACGTCCCACCAGTCCCGGCACGCACTTCGGCGGCCACCCCCTTGGGCAGCGAGAGGGTTTCCATTCCCTGGTAACCAGCACCACCTGGCCCCGAGGCCGCGTCCACGCAGTTCCCTCTCTCCAGTCCGCAGGCGCAGGGGAAACACACCATTTTGTCCCCTTTGAAGTCAGGCAAGGTGCCCTCAAACAGAGTCACAGGAAAACGCGCCTTTAAGCCGATCATTTCATCACAGACGTTCCACAGTTTTGGTAAAGGGAACGCAGAGGCGGGAAGGCACCCGCCTGTGACGCAGCGCCGTGTGTGGGCGGAGGGCCCCGCCGGTGTCCAGCCTCACACACAGCAGCGGCGGTTTCCGGGGCGTGCCCTTAGCCCGGGCCTGGTCTGGGCTGTCGTAGGGTAGGGCGCTGTGCCCTGGTGTCGAGTGAGGGGAACTGCCTTTCTGTTCTTGCAAAGAGGGGGCTCCCAGTGAGGACGTCTTGCTGGCCTGCGGTCACGGCGCAGGTCTTCCTGACCGCTGAGGGCCTCGCGGCCACAGGGGTGGCACCCACCGAGCAGCAGGGAAGGCTGAATTGAGAGGGGAAGCCAAGGCTATTGCCGTTGCTCTCATGGGAGACGCAGGCCCAGGCTGGGGGGCAGAACAAAGCATGAGCTGAGCTTCCGTCCCCGAGAGCCGATGGCATCGGCTTTGGGGGACGAGGAAGAGAGGACCCAGGCCTTGCAGGGGAGAACGGGGACGTCTGGCTGGAAGGTGTGGGGCTTTCCAGAGCGCCAGCAGGAAAGGCCCCACTGCCCTGCAGAAACCTGGAGATGAGGCGGCCGGGCGCCACCCTGTCGCTGTCACCCCCCGACCCCTCCTGGGCACCCCCAGCTAGCCTGTGAGTGCTGTCCCCGCCACCCGGCCTCCTGGCTGTGGGGTCCCCTTGGCGTCACCGCGCAGGCCAGCATTAGCACCCTGATGGCTCCCAGTTCCAGCCCTGACCTCCCTTCTGCGTTAGAGACCAAACCCCCCCCCCTCGCCGCCCTGGGCAGAGGGCAGCACAGCCACCTGGGAGAGCAGCCCCCCAGTGCCCCCGCCTGAGTGACCGCCCCACCCGCTACGCCCTCGAGCCCGCGGCCAGCAGGGAGTCCCGGGGGCGCCACGTCTCTCAGCGCCCCGTCCGGGCCTCCCCAGTCTCGACTCTACCCCTGAATCTTTCTTCTGCGTCCACGCCCCTCCCTCCCCCACCTTATCTGGGCCCTCCTCCAGTCTGTCTGTCCACCCTCCATCTTTCCGTCTATCAACATCCACCCACCCATCCCTCCGCCTGTCCCCCCTGCCTCCCGCTCTTCCTTCCCTCTCACGTTCATTCCTTCATCCAGCAGTGGCCTGTCACGCTCTAGGCCAGGGCGATGCTGAGGGTCTTCCTAAAAGGCGAACCCACTCATGTGCGGCCCCCGGGAACGCCCCCTCGCCCCCGGTTACCACCCGGAGCCTGGCTCAGCCCACCTCGAGCGGCCCGGACGCCCCTGCCCCCGACCCCCCACTCCGTGACTCGGCCCCTCCCGGCCCCGGCGCCACTCTCGATTCTCCAAAAACAGCCACCCGCTCATCCCTCCGTGCCTTCTTCCGCACCGTCACTGCATGGAATGTTCCTGTCCCCAACGCTGCCCACTAGGGAGTGCCCACCCCACGCTAATGGCCCTCTCCAAATGTCACCTCCCTGGGGAGGGTGTCCAGCCAGCTCGTGCCTACCCGCCACCCTCCCTGCACCCCCAGGAGTCCCTAAAAGGTACAAGAAAGTGCTCAGCCCCCCAAGAACACCCTCGGGGGGCCTGAGCCCCTGGCTCTCTGTAGCTTATAAGACTGTGTTCATTCAAATGTCCCCCCACCCCTCACCGAATGTGTCTGCAAAGAGAAAGCCCGGCCTCTTGCTTCCTGGTGGGTGGGCCTGCGGGGCGTGGGGTCTGCCCTGAGCCCACCCACACCCCCCCAGAGAGCCCTGAGCCCACACCATGCAGGCATTGGACACCGGCCAGAATGGCGCCTTATCCCTTGTGATCCGGAAAACGGCACCTCCCCAGGCCACAGGGTCCTGCCCCGTAAAGCACGGAGGTCGATCCTGAACATTCACTAGCAGGTGGAGGAACAGAGGGGCTGGGCTCGCGGGGAGAGGCCGCCCCTCCCCGATTCAGCCGCAGCAGTGCCACCGCCCGCCCGCCGCGCCCCCCCCCCCCCCGCCCCGCCAGGCATTCTTGCTGAAACATCTCGCTTCCAGAGTCCTTCCTGGTCACCCATTGCCGGGTTTGTGGTCCTGCCCCCACCAGCCTGGGACCCCTGGGAATGGGCCTGCGGCCGGCCCCTGGGCCACCTGCACTCAGGGACGGACCCCAAGGGTCCCCTGCCCCTGCTGGGTGGCCAGTCCTGGGGGGGACGCCAGGCCCCGCTGGCCGCCTTTCCCTGCGCCCAGCCCTGCCCTGACGCGGGGAGGGGATCCTTGGGCGGTGGGGGGAGCCCTGGGAACACCCACCTGCCTGCAACGGAACTGAGCCTCAACTGAGTGGGGGCGTAAGGCACACCCCTTCCCACCCCCGCCTGGGGGGCCCCCTGCGGCAGCCTGGGGACGTTGGTGAGCGCTCCTTCAACCCCGACTTTTCGCCTCTGTCCATCCAGAGGGGCCGCCTCCCAGAGGGCAGGGCCCCGCATCCCCCCGCCATGTCCCAGGCTGACGGGGGTCCCTTCATCTCCGCTGACAAGGTCGGCCTCCTTCCCGTCCGCTGGGGTGGGGCGGCGCCCCCACGGGGCCCTCAGCGCAGTATCTGAGCCGAGGGACCCCGGCCTGTCATCCCCCTTTAACCTGGGGGGCAGGGCCAGCGGCCAAGACAGCAGGTCTCCGTGTTCAGGGCCCAGAGCCGGGACCCCACTCGCCCTCTGGTGCAAAACCGGCTGTGCTCTTCCTCCCTTTTCTCCAGTGTTCTTTTCCTTCTTTCTCATTTTTGCGATGTCTCCTGGCGCGCCATGCCCCACGTGCCCAGGCTGGCTGACGGCCATGCCGCTGGCTGACATCCGTCCAGGGCGCCCGGATCGGGCAAGCCTGTCCCTGCTGCCCCTGTGGAGGGGTGTGGGGGGCTGGGGAACCCCAGAGGGGAGGCAGGGAGAGCAAGCCACTCTTCCCAAGGGGCTCAGGACACCTTGGCGAAGGCAAGGATGCTTGAGCTGAATCCCGAAGGCCAAGTCCAGCAGACGCAGGTGGGAGGAAGGGCGGCAACGCACGCACCTGGGCCAGGCGCAGCGTGGGTGGGAGGCCTGGCGTAGAAGGAGTCACCCCTGGGACCCTTGCTCCGTGTCTGGGTGGCCTCTCGGGCCGCTGACCTTGGCGTCTTGTCCCGAACTCACAGGAGAACTACAACGCCGAGTGCGAGTTTGTGGAGCGGATCCACGAGCTGGGTTATAACACGTATGCCTCCCGGCTGTACCGGACGGTGCCCAGTGGCCCGGGGGCCCGGCGCCAGCCCAGTGCCGAGAGACTGTGGTACGTGTCGGTCAACGGCAAGGGCCGGCCCCGCAGGGGCTTCAAGACGCGCCGCACACAGAAGTCCTCGCTGTTCCTGCCCCGCGTGCTTGACCACAAGGACCACGAGATGGTGCGGCTGCTGCAGAGCGGGGCCGGGCTCCACGGCGGCCCGCCCAGGCCACCGGGCAAGGGCGCCCAGCCCTGGCGGCGGCGACCACGGCCAAGGAGCCGGGGAGGCACTTAGCTGCCGGCCCGGCCGAACGGAGGCCTCACACGTTCTGGCCCCACGGCTGGGCGCCGAGCCCACGGCTGACCGCGCCCAGCCTGGCAGGTGCGGAGCAGCCAGTGGCTGGGCACTCCCCATCCATCCTGGCTGACTTCAACCCAGGGGGCAGGGCCAGCGGCCAAGACAGCAGGCCTCCGTGTTCAAGGCCCAGAGTAGTCACGGCAGGGTGGCCCTCCGGAACTGACTCTCCCCACTTGTCCCTGTCCCCTTTCCTGTTCCTGAGCTGGCGGCTCCGTAGAGGGCCAACCGAACGGACCCCCACCCCTTGCTCATCTCTGCAAGCAAGTGCCAGTCAAATCGGGACGAGGGGCCACTTGGACACTGTGGGCGGCGCTGCCCGTGAGGAAGGCCGGCTGAGTGCGGGGTCCCCGCCAGCCGGAGGCCCCCCACCCCGAAGTGCCGCTGTGGGACGACACAGGGGCCTGTGTAATGGGAACATTAAAGTGTTTCATTCGCCCTGTTATTTAATAGATTATAACGCAGTCTGAGGGGAAAACACTGTAGTTTCTATTTGAACGCATTTGCTTGTGAGGATCGCAGGGTCTGTGCCGGGTCACTGTGCTCAGATATGAGATTGAATTCTGAGAAATTGGGCTGACGATGCATTTAATCCCCTGGCTTTGGCAGTTCTTATTTCTTAAAAGCCACAGATGGTTCGTGTGCATGGAAAGGAAGGGCGATGTGTGTGGGAGCCTGGGTGTGTGTGCACACGCGTTTGTGAATTCCTGTGACTGCAGACACATGTGCGTACACCTGTGTGCGCACAGGCGTGCACATGTACCTGTGTGCTCCTGGTTGTGTCTGAATATACTGAGCGCAAATGCAGAGAGAGAGAGAGAGAGAGAGAGAGAAGTGCTTTGTTTAAAATTCCCATAAGCCCCTGCGGAGCGGAGCTGCCTCTTCTCCGTGGGCGGGCCCAGGTGCACAAGGCCAGGTGCGCTCTCCAGGGCGCGGTCCTCGCAGCCCACCCTGGGCCATGGGCATTTCTGTCTTTGCTGAAGAAAACGAGGCTCCAAGAGGTGGCACTGGCTGAAGTCCCAGCCAGTAGGGGGCCAAGCTCCTCTTGGGCCACGTTATTTTCTGCTCCCTGGGTCGCTCGGGGCAGGCCCAGGTAGGAGCCAAAGGGCAGTGCAGGGTGCCCACTCCTCTGGACCCGCAGGAAGCAGCCACCCCTGGCAGCGGGGCCCAGGGGAGGGGTGCGGCCAGGGCCTCTGCTCCCTTGTCCCCGCCAGTGTCAGCGCAGACCCACCAAACACCACTGAGACCGGGCTCAGCACTGACCTCTGGGCAACATACGCGAGACGCCCGGCAAGGAGCTGCTGGGCACAGGGACGCGGCCCCATTTGGCAAGTCAGGTTCCCGGGAATTGTCCCCCTGCAGGAAGGAGCATTCCTGGTGTCACAGGAGCTCGGGCGTTGTCGTGTATCCAGAATGAGAAGGAGCGGGTGCCGCTGGCACTCCCGCCATGCCGATGCGGACACCGAGGCTCCGGGGCGAGCTCGCCGAGGGGTGTCGTTAAAGGGGCACAGCGGCGCCCCTCCCGCCCTGGCGCTCAATGCTACACGGCCAGCAGACTGTCCCTGAAGGGGCTGGGGGGTGGCGTGTGGGGCCCTTGGTTAATATTTAAACGAGATTCAGCACGAGGATGTGTGTTTTCCAGCCCCTCAGCTTCCTTTCGGGGATGGGTTAGGAAGGGGTCACAGGTAGAATTACATCCCCCAAATTAGTAGGGTGGCGTCCCAGCCCCTCCGGTGCCTTGGAACGTGGCCTTGTTTGGGAATAGGGTCACGGTACGTGTAACCAAGTTCAGTGAGGTCACTGTGGAGGAGGGACCCTTCATCCAATATGACTGCGTCCTTCTAAAACGGGGAAAGTGGAAGACAGACTTGAGCCAAGGACGGCAGCCAACCACCGGCAGCTGGGGGAGAGGCCCCGACCAGCTGTCCCTCACGGCCTCACAGGGACCGGCCCTGCCGCCACCTGGACCTGGGGCTTCCAGCCCAAGCACGGGGACAGGACAGGTCTCTGGTTTAAGCCCCTCCCCTGCTCCGTCTGTGGCGCTTTGTTACAGCAGACCCAGCTGACTGACACGGGGACCCGGGGGTGGCTGCCTGGCCACTTGGTGGTCCCCAGAAGAGCAGGCCCGTGCATCTGCTGAGTGAGGGGAGTGGGCCGGCGCCCCAGGCGACGGCGAGGACCCCCGGAGGGCGCCAGCTGCACGGGGTCCACCTAACACGGGCCCCGGGGGAGCTTTGAGGCGCCGAGGACGGGGCCACGGCGGGGGCCAGAGGCAGCCTGCATCCCTATTCCTGTCCCTTACTCCCTCCAAACCAGCTTTTTGGTTTTGAAACATAAAAATGAAGCCCAAAGGGAAGAAGTCTTTGGTGTCAGATTGAAGCACTTAAAGGATGCAGTGACTGCAGCCCGGGTGGCGGTCAGAGCCGCTCTGTCAGGGACCCCGGGGGACGGCCTGGAGCCTGGGAGCGCTGTGCGGGGTGGTGGGGGCCACGGTCATGCCCAGCGCCCAGCTGGCGAAGCTGAGGTCGGGGGGAAGCCTGACTGGATTAAGGTGCCCGGCTCCGGCCCCAGGTGCTGTCGGCAGGCTGCCGGGCGGGGGGCCTGTGCCAAGTCAGGCCCACGAGGAAGTGACATGGCCAACGTCCTACCGTACTCCACCTCCTGACCTGTGACACCAGCTCTGGGGAGGCCCAGGGGCCCCCCCTGGACGGGGCCCCACCCCAAAGCCACCGCCTCCCTGTGGGTTGGGGACCCGCAGGAGTGGCAATGCAAAATGGGCTGCCGCGGCAGAGCCCAGGTGGCAGCTCCTGAGACAGGCCCAGCGCGCGGTCTGGCGGCCCCGCCCCCGGGAACGGCCCCCCGACGTGCCGGGGCAGGGACCCCACGGGTGGGCGCTCACACGTGCGCAGCAGCACCCTTCGCACTGATCACAAGGGGGACCCACCCCGTCCGTCAAGGGTTGAAAGGGGCGGCAAAACGCAGCCCACCCCCACAATGGAACGTCGATCGCCCAGCCTTAGACAGGAAGGGAACTCTGGCACCTGCGGCCACGTGGCTGGACCTTGGGGACGATTTGTGAAGTTAAATAAGCCAGTCACGAAGGACAAGTCCTGTGACTCCACTTACAGGAGGTCCCCGGAGGAGCCAAGTTCATGGGCAGAAGGTAGGGCGGGGGGAGCCGGGGGCTGCGGGCGGGGTGGGCAGTGAGTGTATCGCGGGGACAGATGTCAGTCGGGAGACGAAGCCCCGGAGATGGTGGTGGTGGTGACTGGCAGCTGCACAACCATGTGAATGTGCTCGGTGCCCCGCTCAGTCGCTCACTGGAAAACTGGATAAATGGGCAAAATGTCAGAAAGCACAGGCACCCCCCAAGTCGAGGGTCGTGTGCCTTCCCATCAAAAGCAGACGGATGGAGCGTCAGAAGTGCCTGATGGCAGCGCTGAATAATTTTTTTAAAAAAAGAACCTCTCAGGAGTGGCCAGCCATTCGCCTCGTCTTCGCGGAGCTGCCGCGGAGAGGCTGTGCGCCACTCTGCCCTCTCCGACGGGTCCCCGTGCCCCGCCGGTCCCCGGGGAGAGGCGGCCCCGCCCGTGTGCAGTCAGCAGGCCAGGCCCCACCTCCCGCCCCGAGCCCCCGCCCGGGCGGCCCTCCTGAAGGGAAGGCAGGCCGGCCCCGCGTGACGGGGCTTCAGCTGCTCCCAGCGGGCCTTTGAGCCCGTCCGCAGGTTCAGGGGCCCCTGCCTTCCTGGGGGTTGAAGGGCCCGGAAAGATAAGCAAGCAGGTCTATAATTAGCGCCCACCCATTGAAGGGTGACCTTGCTGGGGCCGCATTCCAGGGCCGGGCCAGATATAGCCCCCGGGGCTGACCCCGACCCTGCTGGGCGGCAACAGCTGGACGGCCGCGGAGCCGCTGTCCGCGCCGTGGGGCCGCGGTCCGCGCCTCGGAACCGGATCTGGACAGGGAGGCGGCACGGCGCGGGATTCAGGCCCGGCCTCGGCCACTTCTGCGGTGCCACGATGGGTCACAAGAGCCCAGGGCTAGTCTTGGCCTCTCCCCAGACTCAGTTTCCCCATCTGTCAATGGGCTCCCACAGGAGTCGCCAGGACCCTCTGAGGCATGAATGATCGGTAGACAGTGAACGGTCTATAAATAATAGCTTCATGGCCAGGAGCGGATGGGGAGAGGGCAGGCACTGCTTTTTCCAGGAAGACCTGGGAGACGCACCGGGGACAGGGCGTGCATCCCCAAGAACCCGTCCTGCGGTGCTGTCCTGGCAGGAGGGCGAGGGCGGAGCAGATGGGAAGCCTGGGGGACCCCGGGGGCTCTGAGGGCGCTGGGCGCTCCTGAGAGGCCCCTGCCTCGGGAGGTCCAGCTCGAAGTTAGAAATTTCAAATATTCACTTACTGTCATCAGTGAAATAAATAAATGCGTTTATTTGCCTTCTGTACAATTCAGGAGAATGGCACTGTAACTCCCCTCCACCCACGCACCCACCCACGCAGCCACCACTCCCCCACCATCCCCCCACTGAGAACGGGCCGGCCAGACGCCAGACCTCCTGCCCGGCAGGCAGCTTGTCCTTGTCCACAAGGAGCTCGCGGCCTCCCAGGGGACAGAGGCACAGCTCTAGGGTGGGAGCAGCGGCCTGGAGAAATTCGGAGCAAACTGGGGCGGCTCCCTGGTGGTGAGGACGATGGGGACATCTGCCATCAGACTCCTGTTCTTGCAAACCAGCGCCTTGTGGCCAGCCAGCCATCATCCAGGTGACAACATCCTCCTCCGCTTCAGAGCCGGGCTGGCACATGGAAAGGTCCAGACCAGAGGGCTGGGGGCCCGGTGGGGGAGGCGGGGCAGAGAAAGAACTGGCTCCAGGGCAAGGGGTGTTGAGGATCACAGGACTTGGGGCTCGGTCTCCGTCAAGGCCAGTCCAGGCTCGATGG